TCTCCAGAGTCTGTGCTGCATTTATGAGATATATGAAGTTTGGTAGGCAAAAAGTTAGTCCTGTCTATTTGACATAAGTGGAAATAATTCACCATGGAGAGGCCACTTTGGCTTGTCATATTGTACTGTGTCCCTTGAAGATTCTGTTCAGGTTTTTATTTGTGGAATAAGACCTTTACTTTAGAAAGCAAAATGTTTCAGATATGATTTATGTGAAAAAAAGCCATTTACATTATTTTATATAACTGCCTTGCGTTCATCAATCATTACTTACCCTTCTATTTATTTTTGTCCAATCTCCAATTTTTTTTCATCAATCATTATGCTTTTCTTTAGGGAACTGAACAACATACTAAACATATTCAATATTTAGTGCCAGAATCAATTTTGCTATCTTAATGGAAACCATCTTCTCTGATCTTAAAAGAAGAATAAAATATTACTCCTTGAGCCGCTCCATAGTATTAAGAGTTATAAAACAAAAGATATTCAGCATTGCAGGCACTGATTGTATAAGCTGCATCTCAGCAGGACAACTAACTATTAGAGAGAATGCACACTGCTTGCATCTCTCATACTACTAAGGTTAATACTATTGTAGCCAGTTTTTTCTTTAACTCCTTCCCAGCAGTATTGTGGGCACATTATTGACGGCTTAACTGATAGCTTGATTCATCACTGTGAAGTTAGATCAAATATTATTTGTAGATAGGATGATGAAAATTGTAAATCAGACTTTAATCAATCCTCTGTTTTGATTTATCATATGGGGAAAAATGAGGAGTTGGGTAGCATACAAGTTTAATTTATTGTTATTATGTTGGTTGCACAGTAAGCCAGATGTTTGTACTGGATTTGGCATTTTATCTACCTATCAGATCCTTCGCAAGGACCTGGGATAGGAGGATGTTTATTATTATTATTATAGGCATCACTCAGTCCTTTCATTGTTCATGGTAGTTTAAGGATGAATGGGAAAGATGAGCAAATCTGTCAGATTTGATTCCACTCAATTTTTTTCTCCATATTTCTTAAATTTATTCTGTTCCATTTATGCAACAATTTCCTCCCATATTTTTATTTATTTTTTTAAGAGAATGCATTGAAAAAATATGAATAATGTCTTCATAAACATTTCTATCCACATATGCATTTTTCTCATATAAATATGTTTTCCAAGTTCCTAACCCTATAAATCCATAACCGAGATGTGCAAACCTTTTTTTAAACCAAGCATCCTTTTGAAATTGCTTCCTATCCCACAGTCCCATTTCTAAAAAGCATAGAACTAGAATAATGGAGTTGGAAGAAACCTTAGAGGTCTTCCAGTCCAACCTCCTGCTTAAGCAGGAGATATCATTGCAGACAAATGACTGTCCAGTTTCTTTTTGAAAACATTCAGTGATGGAGCACCCACAACTTCTGAATGCAAGCTATTGCGTTGGTTAATTGCTCTTATCATTAGAAATTTTCTCCTTAGGTCTAGATTGCTTCTCTCCTTGTTTAGTTTCCACCATTGTTTCTTGTCTTGCTTTGGAAAAAAGTTTGACCCCTTGGTCTTTGTAGGAGCCCCTCAAATATTGGAATAGTCCTATCATGTCCCCCCAGTCCTTCTTTTCATTAGACTAGACATACCCAATTCTTGTAATCATTCTTTGTATGTTTTAGCCTCCAGTCCTCTAATCATTCTTGTTCTCCTTTGCACTCTTTCCAGACTTTCAACATATTTTTTGAATTGTGGTGAGCAGAACTGTTTATTATTGGTAAAGTGGTACTAGAACTTTACATGATCTTGATTCTATCCCTCTATTAATGCAGCCCAGGATTGCATTGGCTTTTTTGGCTGATGCCACACACTGTTGGCTCAAATTTAAGAGATTGTCCACTAGGACTCCAAGATCATTTTTGCAGTTACTGGCGTTAAGCCACATTTTACCTATACAGTTGGTTTTTCTGACTTAAGGGTAGAACCTTACTTTTATCTACACTGAATTTCTTAGCTAGGGCCCAGTGTTCAAGTCTGTCAAGATTTTTTTCAAACTTGAGCTTGTCTTCTGGGGTGTTGGCTGCCAGCTTAGTGTCATCTACAAATTTGATGAGTTCCCCTTCAATTCTCTCATCTAAATCATTTATGAAAATATTGAAGAGTACTGGGACTAAAGCGGAACCTTGAGGTATCCCACTGTTTGCTTCCCTCCATGTGGATATAGTTCTATTGAGGATTACACATTGAGTCAGCCAGTTACAAACCCACCTGGTGATGGTGCTGTCTGTCCCACATTTTATTAGCTTGCCAAGAAGTAGGTTGTGGTCTACTTTATTAAATGTTTTACTGAAACCTAAGTGTACTATGTCCACAGCATTTAGTTGATCTACTAATTTGGTCACTTTGTTGAAGAATTAAATAAGATTTGTTTGGCACAATCTGTTTTTGACGAACACATGTTGGCTACTGGTTATAACCTTATTTGCTTCTAGGTGTTCACAGAGTTGTTGCTTGATTATCTTTTCCAAGATCTTCCCAGGTATTGATGTCAGACTGATTGGTCTGTAATACTATAATTCTGCAGAATTGGGAAGGTTGCTTTATTTATGGAGGGTTTCTAGATAGTATAGTTCCAGTAATTAGATGATTATAGAGTCAGCATTGGACCCCAATGAAGTGAGTTATCTGACATTCCAAAAACCCCAGCATGAAGGTACCCTCACGCTGCCTATAGTACAAAGATTCTTATTCTAAAACATGATTTTGGTATAGTTGTTCTTTTAATATCTACAGCTCATGAATTCTGAACTGTAGTACAAGAGTTCAGAAAAATATCGATATTAGTCTGTAAATCCGAGAAGTGCAAATTAGGTAAATTTACTTTAAAATATAAACCAAATGCATTTCTTCTCAGTTTATTAACTGAAGAAATCTTCATAGGGCCTGAATGAGAATCTTTTTAATGCCAATCAAAAAATAATAATATTTGGGCCCCTATCTTAAATCCACAACTCTAGCATGAAGCAGAAAATAAAAAACACATATTCCTACCTTTGAAAGATAATGTCTAGTCTTCCCCTATCACACTTCATTGTCCAGTGTTTTCAATCATCCTGCATTATGAGAACCCCAACTAAAAATAGTGTTCTATCTATTTTGAAGTTTTCTTATTGCTCTAACCTTGGGAAGTTCTATATAGCTTTGTGTGTGGCTTCCTCTTAGCTCCCTTACTAGATGTGTTAGAATTCCTTTGTATTTCCCTGCTGAAATTTGGGGAAAGGACAGATCTACTGAATTCTGGGATAGTCACCTTAGCAAGGAAGAAAGTGTTGCTCAAACAGAGTTAGGATTATGCTAACCCACAATCTCATTCTTTTGTTGTTCATCTCAGAAATAAATACAATTTATTTATATGGTACTTATATGTTACAAATCATGATTAGTAGAGTAAGATCCTTTTATGCAAGGTGTATTTCTGAGCTAATACGATGCAGTCAGAGTGACCTTAGACTTGTATTTCCAGAGTCCTGTTCTGTTAATTTTTCTAAATATTTGAAGTATACTCCAAAAGAAAAGGAAGCCTTCATTAAACAGGTTAATTTAAACCAAACCTTGCACTTAGATCCAATATTCTGTACAGGTCCACAAATCATATTCACAAAGGGAACCACTTGTACATTTATAGGATAAATTATGAAAAGTAGGTTAGGATTTCTAAATACAAAGTAAAAATGGATATAATTCTTTAGTGTTTGTGAATATAACATTCTTCCCTATTTCTCATTTCAAATCTTGAGAATGATTTCTGTGTTATAGTCCTATATAGTTTCATGATCTGTCCTCTTCAGTTTTAAATATTTGATGTATTCTCCAAAGGAAAAAGAAGTCCTCATTTAGCAGAGTTTTTGGTTTTTTTAAAAAGAAAAATAGAATACAGTACAAAAAGAAAGAAAATGTGTACAAGCAATAGAAAGCAATTTGAAATAGATATACATAGCAACTAAGCAATTGAACATTGATTATATAGAATAATATTATTCAGTCTTTTTGTCAATAAAGATACATTTCAAAAGCAGAGAGTAATATGATCTTCAGTTCAAGATTTTACATATAGAGTAGCAATATCTGTCAAATATTGAACAATCTTTTCAGGTACGCTCTTTCTAAAGAGCCTCATAAATCCATACATTCCAAGATTCAATATTACACCAATGTTTAAGCCTTGTTTTCCCCAAATCATTTTACCAACAGTATGAATATTAAACTAAATGAGGCAATCACAGAAGAAACACAAATTATCTGTGTGAAAATTTCCAATACATTATACTACTTGCCCCTAAAGGACTTGACATCTAACTTCTGAACATATATCAAAAGTGGTTTTTATTTTGAAAAGGCAATGGGACTGGTTTTTTTGGAGGAAAAACAAGAAGTTTCGCTTCCAGGATAGTTGAAATTGTTCACCTTAAAATCAAAAGATACTTAATTTAAGACCCAAGGTTCTTGATTTGCTAAAATAATATTATAAAGTTCTTGGAATTTCAATATGGATAACATTTCTGCTATCCATAAAAAATAAACCATGAAAATCTTCGCCAACATGTTTTTAATAATACAATTAATTTGTACATAATTAGTTATGATGTTTATAACTACTTAAGATGTTACTTACACATTGCAGCCAAAAAATGTTATAATCAAATACACTGCCATTAAGCAATTCTAGGCAGCCTCAATTTTTTCAGGTAAAGGTAACATTACCCTAGAACTGGCTTCTACCTTCTCTTGCTATGAGAAAGTAATGATGTGTTTGTTAAAAAAAGACATACTGACTTATTTTCTATAGATGAATTGAACACATTACTTTTTTGGCCTGTGAGACTAAATGCTGTGTCTAAAATTCCAAAGATCTTAGAGGGCAATTCTGCATGTGTCATACATGGAACCATGTTTCATTGAGTTATAAGTAGATTTGGTCTGATTTTATACGCATTATTTCTTCACATTCTTGCAGTAATGAGAAGCGTAAAGCCAGGGAAAGTGACCCCTATTTTGAAGTCTGCAGAAGGAAGATATGCATGACTGAAGCTGTGTAAAGCTCCCAGTAATCTCTGATAGGATGAAGGATAGCAACATCAATAAACCAAGTAAGTCTTTTCTTACAAAATGAGTTTAGAAAAAATGGTGTTTCGCAGAATAACAAAGACATCAAAGGGGAAAATATTATAGCTGATGGGACATACTAGAGAGCATTGTTATGATTCAATGAATCAACTGACATGAATAGAACTATGAATACAGGTCTATTGTAACGTGCTTTGTTAATCTAGGTTCAGTCAGTTTAATTTTATATAGCATCAACTCTTTTCACTATGTATTTCCTCTTTCCACTATGTATTCAAAATGGACAGTGATTAATATGTATGTATGTATGTATGTATGTATGTATGTATGTATGTATGTATATGGGTGCAGGTATATATGTATGTATATAGCATGTGTATACGTATGTTATGTTTGTGTATGGGCAGATATATACTTTCTCTTGAAAGCAGGCAACAGAATTTCATTTTTAATGTGGGCCAGTGTGCTCACAGTAAAAAAATGACAAGAAATGTTATCTAATCTTAAATCTTAAATCTTAATCCACTAGACATATTCTTTGCTAATAAAAAAAAATCATCTATAATAGGTAAAGCTAGAGAAGGATATATTCATAATCTAAGTTTCTGCTTGGTAAAGTTTAATCTTGAAAGCACACACAGCTCATGCTTGGAGAGGAAAGATGGAAGAATTGATATTCTTACTATATTAAAGCTTTCTCATTGCTGGGCATATAAGGGAATTCGATAAATAGCTTTGCAAAAAAGCAAGATTCTTCAACTTGGTCCTCCTTAGATACACTGTCATCTTCACTCATCCATTTTTTTTGAAGCAATTTAAATTTGATTTACTTGGATTATCATTTTGTACAGCCACTTCATACAGTCAGCTGCTTCACCATTCAAGTCCCTTCTCTTTATTTTATGTCTGTGGAGAACACCATATTCTCTCATAATGGACATTGATTTCCAGCAAAAGTGACTTTCATTTTTTGTGACTTGTACAATGCTTACAGGTGTGTGGCATATTTACCATTTAAGAAAATGTCTGAATGTCTTTTCCTAGTGTTGGCATATCTTCTAATTGTATCTTATTAATGTGAAAGTCCCCTCCACTTGTTCACATCACTAATTACTTCAAGTTTTGAATCCAGTAGATGTTCCACATAATAAGGATGTTTTATTTTGATCAAGGTCCATATTTTTACAGGAATAATCTGTTGAGAATCAAGTAATGCGGTGGCCTAGAGCAGTGTTTCCCAAACTTGGCTATTTTAAGATGCATGGACTTCAATTCCCAGAATTCCCCAACCAGTATGCCTGGTTGAGGAATTCTGGGAGTTAAAGTCCATACATCTTCAAAGGGTCAAGTTTGGGAAACACTGGCCTAGAGGTGGAGCTGTCGCCTCACAATCAGGAGGCTGTGAGTTCGATCCTAGGAAGAGACAGATATTTCTCTCTCTTTGAGCACACTGAGAATATATCTGCTGAAAAAAACGCCGCATTGGCAAGAAGGAAGGGCATCCAGCCAGTAAACACTCATCTCCATTCAGTTGCTTAGACTCCACCCTGCAAGGGATTATGGGGTCGTTAAAAGAGGATGATGAATCTGTTGAGAATCAGACTACAAGTTGGGTGGCTGGGGCATTATTGTATCTGACATTTTTTTCTGTTATCCTTACTACTTCACTCTAGCATCCTTTTCCCCCTGTGAAGAAGAAAGTGAAGAAAGTGAAGAGAGAGATCAGATTTTCTTGATTCAACAGTTGATTTCTTCTAAAAGATATTTCAAATTAGACTGAAGGTCATATAAAGGCTAACTGACTACTGCATTTGTATCTAGGTCCATAGAATGTCACTCTTGTAAAATAGAAATTTATTCCTTTGCATTTTTGGTGCTGTCTGAATTTGGTAGTTTTCTTGCAGATGTTTCATTATCAAAGTAGTCAAAATCATCAGTGCTAGCAGGGAGTAGGGTTTGCTCTTATTTTGTATTCTTTAGGCTTGCTCTCTCAGCATTGGTTGGACTGATCTTAGTGGTTCTTTGGCTGGCTGTTTACTGTTAGCTTGTTTAGCAATTCCTTGATTGGAGCATTGTTTACTTCTTGATTGTGTCTACTGTTATGCATTAGGAATGTTATGCATTTGTGTACTACGGCATATCTGCACAGTTGCTTTCCTATATTTGCCTACCATGCCAGAGTTATCCTCATATATATTTATGATAATATATATGGAACATATTGGAAATCTGAATGTGCGCTTTCCCACTCCCTCCCTTTATCTTTATGTGAACTAGGGAAGGGGTTGTATGAAACATTAACTCATATTACATTCTTTTCTTGGAGTCAGATCTCTTTTATCTGACCATTGCCTTTGTAGCAGCCCTTTCTCCTGTTCGGAAAGGCCATTCTCTCTATCCTCTACACATTCTTTGGCTGGAACCCATAACAAAACCAGCCAGCCAGCCAGCCACAGGGATGCTAAGGAAAGCTACAGGAAAAATATGTTCCTTTACTGTGGCTGCAAACTTCTATTTAGCAGTGAAGATACCTCCTTTGTCAAACTAGATCTAGCAGTAAGCCCTTTTTATTCCTCTGTGCTCAAACCCTTTCCTCCATTTTTTTCCTTCTGGAAACAAAAGGCTTCATCTACTATATTCTCTCGTCCCCCCCGCCCCCCATATGCATATGTTTTCTCCTTTGCAGAAGCCAGCTAGGTGATTTTTGGGTCAGTCACAGTCTCTCAACTGACCTCATAAGGTTATTGTTATGGGGGAAATAGGAGGAAGAAGTAGTACTAGATATGTTCATTGCCTTAAGTTATTTCTAAAAATAATAAAGGCAGGATATAAATAAACAAAAGAATGAAAAGAATGACACATTCTTAAAACTTTGATTTAAGTTCTTCACTGTTGTTCAGCATAGCCAACCCAGCCAATCGCAGCAAATCTTCTCTGATTCCACTCTAATCTGGGGGATCTTTCACTGAATAAATTGATCAATTGACCTAACTTTTTTTTTTAAAAAGAAAATTGCTATGAAGACTAATGAGCTGCCAAATCAGCCAAACTTGGCTTAGTTTGGACATGGCTGCTATAGATAACCTTATACCCTCTGAGGAAGATCAATGTTATGCTATAGAAATTTAACCAGAAAAAAAAGAGAAAATATAGCAAATGAAAAGTCAAATAAGATAGTTGTTGAAAAGCAATGTTAAAAAAAAGTACTTCAGAGAGAAAATATACCTTTAAAAGAAACGGAAGTATTTAAGAAGCATTTTGAGAAAATGAAACATCCAGCCTAAAGCTACATACCACTGGAAAGCAATGGTCCTATCAAGAACAATAATTATTGTCATTTTTTTCTGCAAAGAATACCAATGGCACAATGGCTCTGTGAACAAGCCCTGTCAGCTGCAATTGATTTAATGGGAACAATACCAATAAAAGATATTACATCCACATCACTTCTCTAGGTGACAGTCTCCAGAGAAAACTGACAGGGCCTGAGCTGATAAATATTTTAAAATTCTTCTCTGTGCAGGCATTCTGAAACACTGCAAGCAACAATAGGAAGGACTGGGGGAAAGAGGCTCTGCATATCAGGATAACTCTATAAAGAAATCTTTGAGAAAGAATGTATCTTAATTTAAGAAAACAGAATAGGAGGTGTAGGAGGGGGGTGAGGAGAGGTTTGAAAAACCACTACAATTATTATTATTATTATTATTATTATTATTATTATTATTATTATTATTATTATTATTAATCAAATTTCTATACCGCCCTACTCCCGAAGGACTCAGGGCGGTGAACAGCCAAGATAAAATACAGATAATACAAATATTAAAAAATCAAATATTTTTACAAATATTAAACAATAATCTATTTGCCTAAGATTCAGACTTCTACTACACATAGAGAGCTACAGTATATAATATTAGTGTAGGTGCTTCTGCTCCATACAGTGGTGAAATTGGAATTGCTGCAAAAAGAGCTTTGCCCCTTGCAACCGGAAAACATAAAACACATAAGTCATGTTGGAGGAACCTATGCAGTGGATTCTCCCCATGGTTCACCCCAGTATTCACAGGGACACAATGTTGTAAGGCAATTATAAACCTTGGGTTTCTGACATGACGCAAATGGCCCATCCAAGAATGACCTTGCTGATTTCTACACCTTTACAAGGGCTACATAGAATTTTATAAAAGATAAAGTCTAAACAACTATTAAAAGCTGGTGAAACACTGGATGGCAAAAAGGAGGCTATGGGAACATAAGTAATAACTTATTTATTTCTTTTGTCCTGAAAAGCATCATCTTACTATCTGTATTATTTCAGAGTTTCTTTTTCATAGGCAGTATCCCTTTCCCTCCATCCCCAAGGTCATCCACACACCTTTTGGAAGGTTTCAACAAGAATGAATCCAACTGTCATTTCAAAAATACTTCAGCCACAATAAAGGCAAACTTGAGCAAACTGAATTGCTGGGCTTAGAGGACAGAATCCTTTATGCTTTGGCAACTGGTTAAAAACTAGAAAATAAGCATAGAAATAAATGAGCAATTATGAAAAAGAGAAGATATGTATGATGCCCCACCTCACCACTAATTCAGACTGTTGCTTTTTAAATATTATGCCAATGATGTGGAGTTTGAACTGAGTAATAAAGTAGCCATGATCCCTAATAACAGCAAACCATCCATAAATAAATTCAAAACAGGATTGTGGAGAGTTCCAGAATTATCTCTCCAAACTCAGTGAGTGAACTTCAGTGACACATCCAGTTCAGTGTAATCAAGTATAAAGTAATGCATTACAAGATGAAACATTCCGTTGTTCATCTTTTGGAGTTGGCAGGAAAGGGATTTTGATAATTTTGGCTATCACACCTTAAGGATATTCTAGAACTGAAGAAGGTGTAAAAAGGGGAGCCAAAATGGGAAGGGAATTGGAGCAGATGGAGTGGGGTTTTTTTTAAGTTAATAAAAAGAATAAATTGGAATTGGGCAGCACCTAAGTCAAACTAAATAAATAAGA